TGCTTTCTAAGGGCTGCCTCTTTGTCATTACTTTCTAAACACTCTGGCTTTGTCTACACTGGCATGATTTTCTGGAAATGCTTAAAACGGAATACTATTCTGTTTTCAGTTTTTCCGGAAAAGGAGCGTCTACATTGGCAGGCTGCTTTTCCGGAAAAGCCCTTTTTCCGGAAAAGCATCTGTGGCCAATGTAGACGCGCTTTTCCAGAAAAGAGCCCTGATCGCCATTTTTGCAATCGGGGCTTTTTTCCGGAAAAGACTACTGGGCTGTCTACACTGGCCCTTTTCCGGAGCAGTGTTCCGGAATAAGGACTTATGCCCGAGCGGGAGCAGAATAGTTTTTTGGAATAGCGGCTGATTTTGTACAGTAGAGCATCGTTGCTTTTCTGCAAATTTAAGGGCCAGTGTAGACAGCTCGCAGCTTATTCCGGAAAAGCAGCTGATTTTCCGGAATAAGTGGCCCAGTGTAGACACAGCCTATGAGGATCACTGCCTTTGTCTTCTAGGCTTGTTAAGGAATCATGGAGAAGGTAGATTTTAAAAGATAGGTGCCTTAAAATGTTTTCCAGATTTTGAATTTGGACACACAAACCAATTTGTAAGGTCACAATGAGAATGTGTATGGGAAACTGAATATGACCATCCAAAATGCAAAATTTGGATGTCTTATTTTGTGCCACAGTGGAAAATTTGGCTTGGCTTTTTAGTCTCATGGCACTAGTACAGCCAAAGTGAGGGGGCCAAACTTTGCTGTTGCTGTAACCCTATTGATTTACCTCCATTGCTTGACACCCTCCATGACTGTCTCTTTCTGAAAGACAGTTGCAACTTCTCTAATCTGGAAGTCTTTTGCTCTCTGATGAATTGTCCAGTGTAAATGGAAGCAGAATCAGGAACATCTCTGTAAGGATCCCTCAAGGGGCCTTTCCTTTTATTCCTTTGTGTTCATTTTTATCCATAGCGTCTTCTGCAAAATCCATTATTTGAGTAGCTTTTGATACCAGTATAAGCTTCCTTGTATTGCAATCTGAGTGCTAACCATTGCCAGAAAGTGTAGTTGGTGCCTCAAAGTGTGAGTGGTGACAGTCACTTAGTCTGTGCTCAGAGAGATAGCTCATCGAAGAAGGGCCATTTTTAGAAAGGTGTCTGCCAACACATTCTTCATTACGAGAGTGGTGCCTTCTGTCATTTGGATAATAACCTTTGAAATAACAGCCTTTAGCCCACAGTCTAGGGTATAGTATGTCTTCTAAGCAATATCCGTTTAGCTATTGAGGGTATGTTTATGTTTCTCTTCTAAAAAAAAGAGGGAAAAAAGGAAAAGGAAAAGAAGGGAATCTGAGGTTACTGTTTTGCTGGAAAAATGTCAAGACTGTATTGGCAATATCCCACTAAACCACAAGTTTATAGGAGAGAAAACAAAACCATTGGATTTTTCTATACTATGTCTATGTGCATTCTAAGAAAAATATGCACAGTATATGCCAATTATGCTCTTATTATAGCTGTGGTAATCATACATATGATTGAACACGCAGAAATACTACAACCTCATGCTGTCCATGAATGAAGGGAAAACAAATCTTTCTTATCCCTGGGTTCATGTAGTACACAGGAACACTATTTCTTTCTTTCTTTCTTTCTTTCTTTCTTTCTTTCTTTCTTTCTTTCTTTCTTTCTTTCTTTCTTTCTTTCTTTCTTTCTTTCTTTCTTCAGATGTGTTTCATTGTCTGTGGGAACATGTGTTTTACAGACCTGTCATGTGAAAGCTATTAAAAAGAGAAACTGGAGAAATAACAATAAGCCATGTAACTGTGGTATGTCTACTCCCCAAGTTCAATTGTTATGCTCCTGTTTTTAGTGGTGGTGAAACGGGATCGTACCAAACAGCATTAGCTTTTCTGCTGCAGTTTTTCATCAGGATACTTTGGATCTATAAAGAAGGCTATTAATATCATATTGCTGGCTTAAGAGATACGTTTTGGGGCCAAACTGACTAGTTTTTAAAATGCTTAGAGGGTGTAATGAAGATGAGCTGGAGCCACATGAGATTGCAAATAATTTGGTCAAGACTTAGATGAGCTGATAAGAGGGGTATCCTGAGACACTTATTGCATATTTCATTAATGTGTTGGAAAACAGACAACTCATAGCAGGCAGCCTAGGTCTCTGTGTGTTTAATATTACCAGCTCCTAATATTCTTTTAGAAAATCACACAAAATAACCTGAAACACTATGCCAAATTGTGGTTTTGGCTGTATTTGCCAAACAGAACAGAATTCATTCTCTCTCTCTGTGAATCATGTATTTAAGGCAATCAGAAAAAAAATAACTATGGATTAGAAAAATCTGTACAAATAAAATGAACAAACTCCAAAATGCATTACAAAACATAAGTTCCTTAGCTTGTTTACACACAAATGGAAATGTTTAAATTAGCCTTAGATTTTACCTTTCTGGACAAAATCTTTCACTAATTAATGGTTATGCTGTTTATGACAGCAATAAAACTTGACTCTAGGCAAATCAAGTCAAAACAATGGAGCAACATTTCTTAATTTAAGGGAAAAAATCTGCTAATTTTACAGTAGTGGGAGCGTAAACAAGAGCGTAAACATTTAACCCAGTCAGTGGTCAATAAATATTCCATGACAGCAGTAGGGCTAACAGTCCTGAGCTACATCTACATTGGCAAGATTTTGCGCAAATACTTATAACGGAAGAGTTTTTGTGTTAAAGTATTTGCACAAGAAAGCGTCTACACTGGCATGTGCGTTTGCGTAAGAGATGTGCTTTTGCGCAAAAGCATCCGTGCCAGTGTAGACGCTGTCTTGCGCAAGAAAGCTCCGATGACCATTTTAGCCATCGGGCTTTCTTGCACAAGAAATTCACGTTGCCTGTCTACACTGGCCTCTTGCACAAGAAGCACTGATTTCACACATTAGAACATCCATGTTCTTGTGCAAGAACTCCCTGCCAGTGTAGACAGGCAGCATGTTTTTGCGTAAAAGCGTGCACTTTTGTGCAAAATCATGCCAATATAGACACAGCCCTAGTGTTTTAGCAAAATGCCAACATTTTACTTACCTAAATGCTATCCTCCTGCAGTTTCAGCCAAACATTGTTTTTTGTTGCTGTGGTTTGCATCATGTCCCAAATTGTTGAATAGTGTTGCTACATTGTTAAATTGTTTTTGTTTCACTTCAGTGGGGTTGTAATTTCAGAGGTGGGAGATGAGTTTCCCGTAAGTATAATAAATCACTATGAAATAGGCATGTAAAATCCCGTTTAATTAGTTAACTGGTTAATACAGGTTTAATCAGTTAACCAATTAATCAGGATCCTGCTTCTGCCCCTGCACATGGGGCTACTGCTGCTGACCCCTCCCACATAGAGGGGTGGCAGTAGTAGGAGCTAGCAGTTCAGTCTGCAAGGGAAGTAGCTAATGCCCCCGCCATGCAGAGCTGCCACCCCCAACCCCCCCCGCCACGCCTCCTGCTCCTGTTTCCGCCACTTCCCCCGCATGTGGGGCATCCAGCTTCTGCTCAGGGGCTGGCTTCTGACCACCGGGAGACTGGAGCAGCCCTCCATCCACAGCAGGCTGCTGGCGGGGGCTGCTCCTCAGTACCAGTTAACCAGTATGGGTGATGCTTACCAGATAACTGGTTAACCGGTTACCCATTCACATCCCTTCTTTGAAAGGTTTGTGAAGAGCCTTTGGATCACATGTACTGATTCTGCTGTCATTTAAGTCCACAGCAAATCACTTGTGGGAACTGAGGCACATAGAAGTTTTAAGTGGCCTGCCTGTACTCATCCAGGATGTGTGACACAACTGAGAAAGATTCCCATCCCCTACTGTAACTTCTAGACAATGCTCCATTCCTCTGAAGAAGCATTCTAATTGTTATGAATGAGTTACGCAAGTGCAATAATTCTAAGTTGTATTACCTTGTGCCATAACCAGTTTCTATTGATCTGTGACCCTATAGTGTACATCTGGTTTGACGTTCCAGCTATGAAGTGGAAATTAAGGTCTTTAAAATAGTGTTTAAAAACATATAGCTCACGATTACTGCCAGTAGGACCTGATGTGGTTTCACCAGCTATTGTGGATGGGTGGATAGATGCTGTGTTTCACTAGCATTCAAACAGTCTTCAAAGAAAGGCAACTGTAACAATATTTACATCGTTCCTCCTTCCCTTATTTATTCTCGGATCTGGACTTCCAACACTCCAGTCATCTGAAGAAGTGGGTTGTGCCCACGAAAGCTCGTGATACCATCTACATGTTTTGTTAGTCTTTCAAGTGCTACTAGACTATTTGTTATTTTTTAAGTTTTTCCTGTTAACAGATTAACTCAGCTACCCCTCTGAACATGTTTACATCCTTTGTCCACATTGGCCAGCCAAACTGTGTTGGTATCCCTTTAAGACACAAAGGTCTATTAACCGTGGAAATATAGTTTTGTTTAAACATTGTATCAAAGCAAGTGTAGATGGGCCTCAGCCTGGTCAATATGGCAGGAAAAGCTTGACCTGAAATGAATAGTTTATTGTTTGTTTATTCAGTAACTCCTCCTGCAGCTCTGCTGAACTCAGCTTCCAACAGGCCATGTCAGAGAGGTGTTTCAGTGCTGTGCTCACAGCACCAGATGCTCTGTGGGGAATAGTGTCATATTCTTTTCCATGACTTCTTGTAGTGGGGCTGCTGTTGCCATTCATCCCTGTAAGTTAATATTTGCTATGTGCAAGCTTCAGTGGGACCATGCAGCATGGACACCTGATAACCATAGCAGAATACATGCTTTTCCGCAGGAGAAACTTTGTAAAACAGTTCCCATCACTTGGAAACTCATTAGGAAAGAAAGAAAAGTTGTGCTGAGTTGGGTTTTTGGGAGGTCTCGTGGTTGCTTTTTGTTTGTACTTGTCCATGTTACTTATTTTGTTTTGTTTTGTTTTGTTTTGTTTTCTGTTGTTTGTCTTTGCTTTCCCCAAGCCGGCCTGCCCTTTCTGATCATTGAAACCAGCACAATCCAGCCATACCAACGAGGGTTTTACTGCCATGACGAGAGTATCAAGTACCCTTTGAAAAAGGCCGAGACGATTAATGATGCCGTGCTGTGTGCTGCAGGGATTCTCATTGCCATCCTTGCTGTAAGTAGAACCAGTCAGATTTTTCTGACAGCGCTGTATGTTTGCCATCTCCTGAGCACAAACAGGCCCATTGATGGTAGGGACAACTGCCCTGGGTCCAGCAATTCAAAGGAGTCCGGGGCTCCAGCTGCTGCTGCTGCTACTGTGGCAGTAGTATCAGCAAACACCCTGGGCCCTTTAAATTGCTGCTGTAGCCTTGGATGGTGCACTCCAAATGGTGCTACGGGGGCGGTCCAGAGGCGCTGAGGACAGACTATCCCAGCCCTTCTGCTTGAGGCCCCGCCCCTTCTAGGC